TTCCTTTTTAAGTATTACTTTTGTCTTCACACAAAGATAAGATAGGATTAGAACTTAGAAGCACCACATATTAATCTCATTATCACTAATCACTTACCCTAATATTTCCTTCTCAATGTTATGTTGAGATAGAGTACATATATGTTGGGTTGAAATTACTCACTTAACAAGTATATCTGTCATTTTCTCAAATAATTTTTAAATATCATTTATCCAGACACCACTTAATGGGAAAAAAAAGAAAAAAAACAGGATTAAGTTATTATTATCGATCGAATGCACTAATGGTATTTCTACAATTGCCTATATGAAATGCTGAATTAGAAAATAAGTAATAACCACTTTTTCCCACCTTTCCTCTTTAGGCATTGCATTTGAGACTTTACACAAAGTTTAAGGTATGTTTAAAAATTGCATGTATGTCGTATTAAGTCTTTAATAGTCATCTATTTCAACACTTTTTATGATTGACTTGCTTTTTAAAAAAAAAATTCTAATACCAAAATTGAAATTTGGGGTAAATGCAAGTGATAGTAAACCTAATTTCACTTATTTGTGTAGTTATTAATAGCACACTGCTTTCATTTCTTTCTATTACCACATTGTAGTTTTTTTTTTTAATCTATTAAGGCGTTGTACTTTGATAAATCTACCCAATTATAGCATTAATACTTTCAATTTCTTTCGTTATTACAACACTGTATTTTGAAAAATCCACTCAACTGTATTTGAGAATTGTTTTGTATTTGGATGACATTGCTATAACTGGGTAGATGTTTTGAATTACAATGATGTTAATAGGAAGAAATGAAAGTAGGATGTAATAAACAATTTAATGGAAATATTTAAGCTTGAAATTTTAGTATCATATTCTTGAAATTCAAGATTGACATATATAATTTAGGGTGATGCAAATCTCAAATACTTTTTTGAAGATGCTTTTTATCATCTAGCATATGGTTCTTGATTTTTGAAAGCAACTTACATAGAATCCAATGGATGTGAAGAGATTGAATTGCAAACTTCATATAGAAGCACATTTTGGAATTGTCATCCTCCTTTTGGCTCAATCTGTTGTATTATTTAACAAAACAGACTGTATTTGATGTGCATTGGACTGAAACTTATATTGAGGGACAGAATATTAGTTATTGTAAATAAATTTGTAGTTTAGGATGTAATATTCATTTCTTTTGTGTAACATGCTAACATCTCCAACTGCTTTTGGCATTTGTGTAATACCTAAAATCTTGAAAATTAGAATAAAAATAAAAATATAAGTTGCAAAAAAAATGATGTATATTGGAATCGTTAGTTGTATCTATTTCTTCACACAATGCTTCCTAGTTGTCATTCACAGTTTGCTGTCCATTGACCATGAATAATCTATGCTTCTTTTGTTTATTTATTTTTTTTGTTTTTCTCTTAAAGCATCTTTAATAGTTAACCTCATACAAACTTATTGTTTTTGCTACATCATCTTTCTATTAATTTTTATCTAATAAAAAGCTTTTATCAAATACCCTTTTCAAAAGCTTTTTTCAATAACCGACTAATTTAGCATTTATCCATCTTAAATGTTTTATTAAGTCTTCTTATATAATTTATTATTTTTACTAACATATGTCATATTTTTAGGTATTTTACGGGTAGTTTTTTCAAAAAACTTGTGGGGTATTTTTATTATTATTATTTTTTTTTTTAAGAAAAAGGGAGGTGGGAGTCGGTTGGGTACATGGGTTTGGGTTTAAATTGTTTATTTTTATAAAGAAAATATATAAAAAAGCTAAAATAAAATAAAAGGTTAAAGAAGTATTTTTTTTTTATGACAAAAGACCAAACAGACTAGTGTTTTTGAAACCATATGGACCAAAGGAGTTTTAATAATTGTCCTTATTATTTATGTTTTGGATAAACCATACGGACCAAAAGAGTTTTAATAATTGTCATTATTTATGTTTTGGGAAATCGCATGGAATAATCATGTAATATTGTCTTTAAATTATATACTTTCTTTATAAAATCTATTCATATTTATTTTGTTTATTAAATCAATTGATTAACTAATAAAAAATCGAATATCATGATATAAAATGAAATATCATTAATTGTAGGGATAAATGTGGCAAAACTTAAAAAGAAATTAAAAAACTAAAAGAAAACTAAATGTTTTGAGTGAACTTTTAAAAAAGCGTACGGTAAAATGTTTTCCAAGTTTTTTTTTTCTAAATGGTAAAACACCTTTAGACTTATTTTCCTTCGTCTGAATGTTTTTACATTTTATCTTATTAATCGAACCACTAATTTTTTTTCTTATTCTTTAATGTTTGGCTTTTTGGTACTTGAAATATTGTCCATCATCTTGTTTAGGCCATGGGGTATGGGGGTGTTTCTACGCACATAAAGATCTATGTGGAGGGGATGTTCAAGCGTGAACACCGCCCCGATAGGTGTAAAGGTGGCGAGGATTGAAGCTGGTCACGGGTTTTCACAACCAATCAAAAACATTTCTCCCACAAAACTTATCGGCTTCTCTTTATCTCTCTCTTCCTTTTATCTTTCTCTCTCTTATTCACTAGTTGTTTACTAGTAAACACCATCCCAAACAATAGTGAATGTAATGTGAAAGAGATATAATGCTGATGTGGAATCAATTTCACAGGTGAATACATTGTCAACATACCCTATAGCCTTAAAGACCAATTAGTGAACAAACATGCATGTATATTGATGATATTAGGTCCATTAGCATGGCCTAGACAACTCTGGCAGCCTTGTCTGACGCTCTCTTGCCAGCTCAGCCTGACGTTTTCTTGCCAGCCCTGCCTAGCGCTCTCCTGCCAGCCCTGCCTGGCGCTCCCTTGCCAGCCTTTCTGGGGTGCGTGCCCGCCAGCCTTGCCCGACGCCTCCGGATGACCTTGCCTAACTCCTTGCTAACTGGGGGTTTTGGGCTAGCCCAAGGCTTGACCTAATTTCCCCTTGACCTAATTGTCCCCTATAAAGTGAACAATGCCTCCTCCATGGAGATGGACTTTGCCCATCGGCTCAGCCGCCACTCTAGACCCTTTCCGATGGCTCAGCCGCCACTGAGGAGTTTCCCCTTGGCTTAGCCACCGCTCTCCACCTACAGCCACCATGTCCATACACTACCGTAACACCAAGATGGTTCTCTCCAACTAAGAATAACCATCTCATCTCTACCAACTGATCTAACTTGATCGTTGGAGCCTGCTCACGAGGCGCAGTCCCTGGGGCGGTTCTAACGACTTTTCTATGTGCTTCTCAGATCTCCGTCGTAGCAGTTGTCCAGAAGACATCCCGAAGATCCATGTCGCATCATTTGGTGCCACCTGGACTCGAACGAGCAACCACCATCTCGCTTGGTTTCAAGCTCGCTCTTGCCTAGATCTGTTCAGATCTGTTGCGTTTCAGCTCAAGTTTTGCTCATATCTATTCATTTCTACCATTATTTGTTCAGATCCGTTTGGCTCTTGCCAAGATCTGTCCAGATCTAATTAGCTATCTTTTTGATCTCTCGATCTGATGCATTTTTCGTTCAGATCTGTAGATTTGCTTCATTTTTAGCTCAGATATCTAGATCTGCATGTTTTTGTTCACTCAATCATCTCTCAAGTTTAAAAACACCTTATTAGATCTGTTTTTATTTACATTTTGATGGTTCACCTCAGCAAGTTGGGGGAGAAAAGAGGTTTTTACGAGTCTTTCCTCATCTTTGTTCATATTTTGGTGTTTTATCCAGCAACTTGAGAAGAAAAGAAATTTTCGTGATTATTTACCATATTTCTAGTTTATGTTATCAAGAAATCACCTTTAGTTTATGATATTCTGTGTATAACTTCATTCAAGTTGTTTATTTGCTGTTCTTTAGAAGCTTAGAGAAGGAAAACGCGAATTTTTTCAGATCTGTTTTCGTTCAGATTTTGGTGATTTATTCAACAAGTTGAGAAGAAAAGAATTTTTTTACAAGTTTTTACCTCTTTTACCAGCTCATTATTACAAGAAAATTCACTTTTAGTTGATGATTTTTTTTCAGAAAATCACATTTAGTTTATGATTTTCTGTGTACAACTTCCCTCAAGCTATATAGAAGCTTGGAGAAAGAAATAAGTGTTATAAGTTTTTACATTTTCAGAAAACTGTTCTAGTTGAGGTTTTATATATGTAATATCATTTCTTGAAACATTCTGTTTGTACGCAATGCTATATTGCTTGTACGTCCCAAAAACGTCCGAGAAATACCATAATTCTGTTAGATATTTATGCATTTTTACCAAAACACATCCCATTTTGTTTATCATTAGTTTATAGTTCATCCCATCAGTTAAGGTAAAAAAAAAGGAGGGAGAAAGGGAGTTCTACAAGAAGAAGTGATCGATAAAAAGAGATGTATAAACCCATCAAAAATTCGTTCATCCTTTTTTGACACATTTACCTCAAAAATCGCATCTATCTATTACCCTAAAGTTTACAACTAAAAATCATAAAGCAAAAAAGGAATTACAGGATTAGTGACTTGTTGTCACCTCTCAACCGACAAAAAAAGGGGGGAAGGGTGCTGCACCATAAGGCAAAAGACAAAAAGCATGTAGAAAAGTCAAAAGGCGGGTCCCACCTTGCTCATATGTTCTTCCAAAAGTCGTCGACCCCCACCTGGTCCCTCTTCTTCCCAAGAAAACATCAGAGGCAACTTTTCTTCAAATACCACATCCCCTCATCAGACAACTCTTACCGGCAGAAGCTTGCCGACGCCATTCACTAGTAGCCTCCAATCTCCGACGAAATTGCTCCGAAAGCAGCTGTCGCCAACCAGAACTATCAGAGCATTCGTCACCAACCGGAGCTAAAGCTACGATAGTCCCTTATCTCTCGATTCACCACCAGGAACCGGAGCTACAACACCTCCCATCGTCGTTCGTCGACTACAAACGCCTCCCCTGACCATCGTCGGGTGCCTCCAGCTCAGACAAATCGACTCCAAGATGCCGCTGCAGCCGATAAACCACTACCGGAAGCGACAACGATCCCAATTTCTCCATCTCTTGCCGCCTATCGGAGCTACGCCATCGATCTCCATTGCCAACCGACCACCTTTAATTTACGACCTCACAGAGCTGCGCCGAAAGTGATATCACATCTCCGATTTCCCTCCACAACAAGCATCCTCCAACAAGAACCCATCCACCTCCGGTCTTCGATTTCATTTTTCTTGGGACCTCCTGGTAACGAAACAAGACAGAAGAGCACAACTGAAGATTCCTTTTTCTTCAAAACTAATGAAAAAGAAACCATAGTGTCCCCACATGTGATGGCCAATACGTTTGAAAAAAGGAGACGTGGGCCTAATGGACTGCAATTTCGTTTTGGGCTCCTTTCAATCTGGGTATCTCATGTTTTTGGGCTACTACATGTGGGCTGCCATTATTTTATTTTGGGCTCCCATGACAAACGGGCTGCTAGCTTGCGCTCCTCTAAAAATAGCCTTTTCCATTTTTTATGGAATACGTCAACAACTTATATGGGCTAACTTTACAAGATCAACTATTTAACGATTGGGCATTGCATGCTTAGCTCAACAAAAAACATTTTTAGATAATGCGTTGCTATACAGACCACTCGTCGTTTTAAAAAAAAGGGAAGGGAGAAGAGTAGTACACTACCGCTACTCTGCGAAGTGCTCTGAGTAACAATCGCAACAAAAAATCTTAATCAACTTATGATTTCAAGAAAAAACATACTAACTATCAAATTTGATTATATTGTCTTTTCAGATCTCCGTTCCAACGCCGCGACACTCAGAGCTCGCCGACGGCAAACACGCGGAGCAAAGCTCGGTTTGTAAAGCATTTACAGGGGACTCGCGAAGTGTGCATTGCTGACCAGTCACTCAAAGTTTCCTTCAGTGGGCATAGAAATTTAACCCTACCCGATGTTGGCTGCGGGCCGCGTCCCCCCAACTCCCGGGATAGGTGCTGGTTCCCTCGAGAAAGTTTTAGAAACTTCTCAGTTCCCCACCCGGCGTTGGCTGCGGGTCTCACCCCCCTAACCGGGGCATGCGCGGTTTCCTCAATGGTATTTCTATGAACGACTTTTAACTATGACTAGAACTGTTCGTGGAGGAGTTAGCTTAGCATCTAAAGTGGTTATTACAATTTGCTTATTAGAGATAATTATATTATGTAGGCGGAGTCTAGACTGTGCGTGGGGTGCTAGATCTACTTGCTTACTTCCGATGTGAGTCTTCTCACTATACTTACCTGAGCGGTAATACTGTGTGACCGGAGGGTCTTATTGAGTTATCGACCGGAGGGTCATATGTGTTTATACTGAGTTATGTGATATTATGTATTTTGTCTTTGTGATATGTGCTCTATTCTGTGTTTTACTGAGATAGGACCGGAGGGTCCAAACCGAGTTGTGAGACCGGAGGGTCTTCACTGAGATATAGGACTGGAGGGTCCAACCCGAGCTATGAGAGCGGGGGTCCTCACTGAGACACATGACCGGAGGGTCCACACCAAGCCGTGAGACCGGAGGGTCCTCACCGAGACGCATGAGACCGGAGGGTCCATGCCGAGTTATAGCCATGAAAGGCTTATTATTTGTGTATGTGGTATTTTGGGGAACTCACTAAGCTTTGTGCTTACCGTGTTGTGTGTTATGTGTTTCAGGTACTTCTCAGGATCGCGGGAAGGCGTCGGCTTGATTGTACACACATGTTTGAGTATATGTCGAGGATTCTGGGATATTATCAGTTGTTTTGTTAAATCGTGTTTTTGACATTTGATACATTGTGATTTTGAGAAAATGTGATACTGATTTTATGTGATTTAAAAATAAAATTTTTTGTTTGAAAATTTAGAGTGTTACAGCTCAGTCCTATTACGTTTTGATCTATCTCTATAGATCCTAATACCAAGTATATATGCATCCTCTCCTAGATCCTTCATAGCGAAACAACTCCCAAGCCATGTCTTAACACTTGTAACATCGGGATATCGTTTCCTATAAGGAGTATCTCATCCACATACAACACTAGGAAGACTAAAATACTCCCACTAGCTTTGATATATACGCATGACTCACCTTTACTTCTTGAAAATCCAAACTCTTTGTCCTTTTCATGAAAGCAAAGGTTCCAGCTACGAGACGCTTGTTTTAGACCATGTATGGACCTTTCAAGCTTACACACTCTATTTGGATATTTTGGATCTATGAAACCCTCATGTTGTGCCATATACACATCCTCTATGAGTTTTTCATTAAGGAAAACGGTTTTCACATCCATTTGTCATACTTCATAATCGTGAAAAGCTTCCATGGCAAGCAATATCCTAATAGACTTGATCTTGGCTACTAGTGAGAATGTTTCCTCATAATCAATCCCTTGAGTTTGAGTATAACATTTTGCAACCAACCTAGCCTTGAACATGTGCACATTTCCATCCATGCCAGTCTTCTTCTTGAAGATCCATTTGCACCCAACAGTTTTGATGCCAGGGGTGGGATTAACCAAATTTCAAACTTGGTTACCATATATAGACCGAATCTCGTTCTCCATGCTTTCCTTCCACTTGGAAACCGCAGGGCATGCCATCGCTTCCTTATAGTTAGATGGCTCATCCATATTAACCAGTTTACGATCACTGATTAATATGTCTCCTTTTATGGTCATATGGAAACCATAGAACTCAAGAGGAAGACGAACTATATTGGATCTGCGAAGGGGAGGTGGAGATATATCATTTTGTTCAACATGCGACTCTGCCTCAGGTTGAGTGCTAGTATCCACTAAAGGTTCTTCTTCACTTGAATCTTGAAGCTCTTCTAGGTCAATATGGCTCCCACTGTCCTCTTTGGAAATGAGATCCCTCTCGAGGAAGAATCCCCTTCGAGCAACAAACACCTTGTTCTCAGAAGGCTTGTAGAACAAGTATCTAAAAGACTTTTGTGGATGGCCAATGAAGTAACATTCTCTAATCTAGATTCGATCTTATCATTTGCCACACGACGAACAAAAGCCTCGCAAAACTAAACTTTTATATATGCTTGAGAAGGACGTTTCCCACTCTATTTCTCATAGGGTGTTTTAGAAACCTTCTTAGGAGGTAATAGGTTTAGGATGTAGGAGGCTGTCTCTAAGGCATACCCCAAAAAAGATATCGGAAGTGTAGCTCGACTCATCATAGATCGAACCATATCTAATAGCATTCAATTTCTTCTATCAGCCACACCATTCAATTGTGGTGTTTTAGGAGGAGACAATTATGAAACTATTCCATTATTCTTAAGATGATTGTAGAATTCAATACTTAAATATTCTCCACCACTATCGGATCAGAGCTTCTACCAAATTGATTCTCTACTTCGTTTTGAAACTCTTTGAACACCTCAAAGGTTTCTTAATTATGCTTGATTAGATAGATATATCCATATCTTCTAAAACGGCTAGTGAAAGTCACAAAGTATTTTTCTCTATGTCTTGTGGAAGATTTGAATGGTCCACAAACATTTGTGTGGATGAGATCCAATAAATCCTTGCCTCTTTCACAGTGGCTTGTGAATGACGCCTTTTCATATTTCTAAGTAAGAAAGATTTGCATACATCATATGACTTGAGGTCAAATGATTCCAAGATCCCATCCGATTGGAGTTTGGTGATGCGCTTCATGTTTATATGGCCAAGTCGACAATGCCACAAACATGATTTATGTAATTCACTATAAGAAGAACCAACATTAAGTAATAGTTTATCAACTTCACCTACGCAAACAACACTTTCATACACACATTTACAAGGACTAGCTTTGAATATAAAACAATCATTCTTATAAACCAAAATGTTCCCATTATCATTACCAAAAGAAAAATGACAACCATCCTTATAAAGTGCATGAAAAGAAATAATGTTTCATGCCATATCGGGAGAAAAGCAACAATTTAAAAAACTAAGATAAACACCACCACCAAGCATGAGTTCATAGTTCCTAATACTTGTAACAACTGACTTGTGCCTGTTTCCCATGATCAGGTTGAGCTCACTAGGCCTTAACTTCCTACTTTGTCTTAGTCCCTACGTATCAGAGCAAATGTGAGTACCACATCCTATATCAAGAATCCAAGAGTTAGAAATAGATGTGTTATGGAGTTATATCATAAACATACCTGAGGTGCCAATCACCTTGACTTTTCCCTTCTTGAGGTCCTCCAGGTATTTAGGGCAACTATGCTTCTAGTGTCCCTTTGACTGGCAGTAAAAACAAACAGCCTCACTTGGATTAGTAGAAGGAGCTATCTAAACTTGGACCTTTGTCTTAGGGCCTTGGTCAGAATGTTTGACCTTACCCTTTCCCTTTTCTTTGGGATGAGAAAACCTTTTCCTTTTAGTAGAACCACGATCAAGGGCCAAGACTGGAGTAGTAGGGTTGGAATTGTTGGGTTTCTTCATGCTCGCCTTAGTTTTCTTGAGCAGGCCATACAACTCCATCAAGGTTTTATCAAGGTTGTTCATATTAAAGTTCAAGATGAACTCCGAATATGAACTACTAAGTGAGTTTAATACCATGTCAATGGTCAACTCCTTAGGCAGCTCGACACCTAGATTCCTAAATCTGTCTATGTATGACTTCATCTTTTAGACGAATGTACATACAAAGCCTCCCTCTTTTTGTTTGCATGAGATGAGGGACTTGACGATCTCGAATCGTTCATGCCTAGCTTGCTCTTGGAACATTTCCTCGAGCTGCTGATTTATGTCGAAAGCGCCCTAATTTTCAATGTTCTTCTGGAGACCAAAAGCCATGGTCGCTAACATAAGTCAAGCCACTTTGGTCGATTCATTATAATGTTTGTTGTTGGCAGTAACTTCTTATGGGGTAGCGTTCTCTCCAAGTTCGGGAACATCATCATCGAGAACATACTCGTTGTTCTCATATATCAATGTGAACCTTAAGGTTCTGATCTGATGCGTGCAAATAGCTACACCTAATTTTATTATTTATAACCTAATTACCTTAACTAACTAATTGCACCTCGGCAGTGTACCTAGTCAAAATTATAGAATAGTTGGGTAAGTCGGGTGTCGATCTCAGGGAACGGTTTTGACTACTTAATTTATCTACTATTAAATTGACCTAATTTTAGAGCAAAGAGGGGGTTTTATCTGATTTTGCAAGACCAGACGAACTTAAATCACAAAATTCCATCAATTAATTAAAAACACTCATGTCTAGTTTGAATCCACTTCTTTATTTATGTTTAGCTAATAATTATGGATTATCAAAGTTGGTCACCAATTATTATGTAATTAGCAATTCAAGTCCAAATTTACTAATCTTTTTACCAATTCATGGACTACCTTGTATGGTCACACATAAGTAAAACACAGAATTAGTTATTAATTATAGGTGAGCTATGTAAGATTTATCTAAGCAAACACAATTATGGTCATAAATTATGTCCTCTAGCACAGCTAAATTAGTTACTTTTATCACTTATCTAAGATTTTGGTCGATCCTAGCTCTAGCAATTCAATGTTCACTAAATCACTAGGGTTCAAGTTCATGTAATTTAATGATCACTAAGCTACACAGAACATGAATTTAAGCAACTAAGAAACTAAAATAACATGCTAGGTAATGATAATCAAACACAAGCAATTTACCAACTAATCAAATTCAATAGTCATTAAGCTAAAACATAATTCAGAAGCTTCATCTAGCTAGACAAGAGCTGTTAGATTCAGCTACTCATAGTAACAAGTAAGCAAAAGCAAATCAAATTATCAAACATGTTCATAACTATCAAACTAATTAACTAATTATGAACCTTTACTCCTTTTGATGTTGAAGGCCTTTTCCAGAACTCTTCTTCTGCTCAAAATCGTCTTCAGGTAACCTTCCAATCAGCCAAAAAACTCTCCAAGTCGTAATGGGCAAGGGAATTTATAGTTTTATGATTTCCCTAGTTCATGTCGTGAACAATAAGGATTCACGTCGTGAATGCGATCTTTTCGTATTCGACAAGGACTCTTCCACCCGGATACATATCTTCTAGAATACTCTGCTCACGTCGTGAATCATGAACAATTCACGTCGTGAGCACGTCTTTTTGGTGGAATTTTCATCCTTCTTCCCTTCAAGCCTCCAAAGTTCCAAATATTGTCAGTTTCAGTCCCTATCTTCGAGAATGCTTCTATTTTGGATGCAAACAACAATTTATCCTTATAAGTACCATTATTCTATGCAAATAACCAAAATATTAATAAAAACATAAATAAATATTGCCTAAAAATGCATATAAATATGGCAATATCATGATCCAATCAAGATAGTTGGAACCATCCTCATTGAGTCTTTCCCTATTTAGAACTGACAGTAGAAACAAGCTTGAGTTTTGAGTTGGTAGAGGAGGAGGAGAAGGAGGAGGATTATTCTTCTTGTTATTGACTGGGATCGACATTTACAAAATATAAGATTCCAATTAGTTCGATATATAAAATCCTTAATAAATAATCACCCTAAATCAAATTATTAAATTAAGGTTAGGATCCATATTTGGCTTCATGATGTGTAAAGGGATGCCATAAACACACCATGAAGTTATTTAGGTAGACAAAATTCTTTGTCAATTTCGATCACTACAAAATTCCTAGATCTTTGAGATTCATTGACTATCAATGACATGTTAATATCAGATTATGTTCATCTCAGATTTAATGACGGGGGTGTCGAGGATCACTGAATAGATGGTGAATCACCTATACAAAATTGCGTGGTCCCCGACCCAATTTACGCTTGAGATTCGCGAGTCTCA